TTTCACTTTCACACGCAGCATCCTGAGGGACGCTAAGCGCCGCAGTAACTGGGAACAGATATATCCGGCCTCCTGTAGAGGCTGTACAATTGTACATTCCAGCAGTTGCAGATATTGACTAAACTACAAATAGACAGAGGCAGCACTACTGTGTCAGCAGTCTGTCAGGTCCAGCAGGCTACAACTAGAAACACCCGCACCGTGGTGCCAAGCAGTGAAACGATAGTCATATGTACAGCGGTCAGAATTCACAGAGCACCAATGTCCGTAAAACATGGGCGGTGATGTGAGTGGCATCAAGCGATCTACAAATACTTCAAGCACCGAGTGAGGTCAAATGACAACCATTCCGTTGCACAGATACGTGACGTGAAATGAGCAGTTTAAGCGGTGTGCCGTTGGCTGGCAGAGACGCCTGCGGCATCCAAATGAAGCTAAGCAAAGCTCTTGACATCAACATGCGAGCGCATGCAACGAGAGCTGCAGTTTTGCTTAGTGGTGCGCAAACGACATCAACATGCGAGCGCTTGTAACGAGCACTGCGGTTGTGCTTGGTGGAGCGCAATGCGCAGCTCCGCAAGACGAGCACTGATGAAGTGCAGCGTGAGCACTCAATCGTGACAAAACGATGGCTCTGGCAGTATGGCTCTGCTATTGGCAGACAGCCACTCAAAAATGCAGACAAAGTACAGTGAAGCAGAGACTACTCGGGCCAGGTGAGCCCAAGGAACCAGCATTACTGCAGGGTGTAGAAGAGGAGATACGTGTTAGTGCTGATCTCACGTTGTTGGGCTTTGGTTGCCTTCACTGCACTCTGGCCATCATTGGTGTAGAAGAAAACACTGTTATGAGCATCGTAAAGTGCACTTCTGTAGTGTCCCGAGTCAGTGGAATCGCCAAGGTGAACAACGCAGGACCGAAGCTGATATCTGCTGAAAGTGACTCCTGTCCCAAGACTGAAGATGGGAACCGAACAGGTAGGTGAGTGCGCTATGGGATGAGGGTCCTTATGTACGCCTTGGCGACTGAAACGTCCTATCTGTAAAACGAGGCACGGCGGTGCAGTCAGCAAGGCGTGCACGTCAGCCTGCGAGTGCCAATCATCTACTAACGACTGAACCGCAACGTTGTGTGACAGGGGCACAGGCAGGAACAAGGAACTACCGTCGCCACCATCCAACACCTGAGTCGAGTCACCAACGTTACGACGGGACTGCCACGTCACTGTGCAATACTGCATTTGAGTCGTGCGCTGTAGAAAGCTCAAGAATTCTGCAGCATCATGCTGCCTGGAGGGATGCTCCCATGTCCTGCAGAGTGTGCGCCAAGCAAGCAAATTCCAAATATGGAAGGGTTGTTTGGAGCGGAACGCAGCCTCCAAAGCGCAGTCTACCGTTCTGCTGTAGAGGCTGGCAGGGAGGAACAGCCTGCACCATTCAAGGCAGAGTACGATGGAATTAGTGTAACAATAGTTACTGCTATTGCCAAGCTTTGCCTTCAGAATCAGTTGTTGTGTCAGGACCGGCTCGCGGGGTCCATTTCCTCCAGCATGCTGGCTATGTGTGTGGCCAGTGGAGATCGCTTGAGCCTCTCTGGTCGGTACGTCATGCCCAGAACTTGGGTGCAAGCATTGTTGCTCAACTTGATCAACGCTCCATGTAACAACTGCGCGTTGTGACCCCGGTTTGAAACCGAGATCAGCAGTGTCAGGGTTTGTCCCCTCATCTCCGATGTGATGGGCCGAGTGGGGTGGAACCGCGTGATCTGAGAGGGGTCGCTTAGCTGGAGTAGTTGCGTGACTGTCTGATGTGCCTCCAGGATGGTCAGGGGTTGCCGCGTCGAGTCGGGGACGAGCTTCTTGTTTTCGGCACTCCATCGCAAATATGGCCAGCTTAGACTGCCCTCGCCGCTTTTTGACAGGAAGTCCATCTTGATGAACTCCGCTTGTTGCTCCTCGGTCATCGCGTCTGGGCAGAGTCTGCGCTTCAACTCCTCCCACAAGTTCATCCAGAGGACATGGCGAAGCGGGGCCGTCACCTGCCCCAGACGCTGCTGTTCCCTCCAACGTTTCTGAATCACCGCCATGCCTTCCGGGGCACCCCCCGGTAGGCTCAGTCGTAGCCACATGACGAAGGATGTGTCCAACTGCAGCGTTTTGATGGCGTCCTCCTGTCTCAACAATAGACGTGCCATCGACTTGCAGAGCGCGAGAGTGTCGTGTGAGTCTTGGTCGTCGGCCTGCTTTGATAGGGTTGGCATCGATGGCGGTGGCATTGAGCGCTTGCCCCCGCTTCCGAAGCCCTTGCTCCGTTCGAACCTGGGCGTTTTTGCTACCCGATCGGTCGGCGCAGTGCTCACCTCCGACGGGGTCTGGCCGCTCATGAAGGGTGCAAATGCCCTCCACTCGTCGTCCTGATGCTGCTCCGCCAAGTCCGCCATCAGACCTGTTGTCTTTCCAGACCTCGTACGCAAGTCTGATAGCAAAGAGCACCCCACAGCGACCGGGGTGAGTGCTGAGGGAGTTGGGCTTAAGCGTAGCCCCACACGCTTCACACGGACTGAATCTGCAAAGGCCGCTTGAGTTGCAATGGGATTCAACAGCGTCCTTGTGTCTCCATGCCGTGGCATGCGCTCTCCGAAGATGCTGCTTCACTCCACCCTTATCAGAGACGCACCAGGCATTGCAAAAAATGCAATGGTGTTGCAGTTTGTCCTTTACTCCCGGCACTCGCAAAGCAAGTTTCCAGTCAGATTTCCAAGCATCCACAACAGACGACCACTGCGAAACAGGCAGATCAGGGTCAGGCTCGGGTGTCGGGTGTGGCATGTTAGGCAAGGCCGATTCATTATCTGGCTTAGGGGGTGGGCAATCGGCAGTCATCGTAGTTGCAAGCTGTACAGCCGAACAGTCCCCCTGCCGCAGCGTAGCGTCACCAGCACCAGGGGACGAAGAAACAGGTTGCAAGTCAGTGTGGCCAGAGCTGCTTGTTGGTGGCTGATAAGCACCCAGATTAAGAACCGGACATGTGTTGAGGAGGTGCGATCTGAATGTACTCCAGCGTTTGTAAACCTTGCCGCAGTGCTTGCAAATCGGAAGCCCTGCCTTGGCATGCAGATGAAGCTGGAGGTTCTGATTGCTCCTAGCTGCTTCATCAGGTCCTACTGTCGTGCCCGTGGCCCTAAGTGAGACTTTGTGTTTCCTGGCATGATGAAGCCGCATCGAAGACACTGAATCAAAGTACACACCACACGTAGGGCATGATATGGCATCAGAGACCTGCAGTGGCACCAAAGCTTGCGTTGCAGCCCCTGCATCTAAGGTTTCTCGCGAAATGCGAAGGCTTTCGGCCAGAGCATCAATCGGCTGCTTATTCTGCATTGTGCACAGCAAGCTTTGAAGAAAAGTCAGAGGCGAAGGCTGCCGAAGTCTCGACAACAGCGCGGATGAAGACTCAAAGGTCAAGTGTCGAGGAGCTTTGGCCACTGCACGCACATGCCTAATACAGGTTCTTTGAAGCAACTCAAGCATGGGTCGCGTAATGCCTACCGCAAGCAACCCGTACACCATAGAGGATCGGACACAGGCGTTGTAGATCACGAGCCTACGTTTGACACTCAGATACCGCGAATTGTGAAGCACCCCTTTGAGTCTGTTCCGATTGCTTTCAGCGGCAGCAATACGCATATTTAAAGTGCTCAACTCAAATGAACCGTATGAGGCTATGATGCCTAAGTAAACAAAGGACTGCCCAAGCTTCACAAGGCAAGGCCTGCCTACTGATCCCAGATCAATGTAGAGCTGTGATTTCCTGCACTGTGTGCGAGAAGCAAACATGCGTTGGATGCCAGCGTCAGCACTGCTGTAGATGAACTCACTCTTGTCAGCGTGCACAAGCATTCCACTGCACTGGAAAACTTCAAAGATGGTCTGCACTACACGAAACATCAATTGAACATCCGCTTTGCTCGAGAACTCCCATCTGGCATGAGTGTCATCAGCGAACATGGTAATACAAGACTGCAAATCCAAACTAGGAAGTTTTTCAGAAAGCAGATGTAGCAAGTATGAGCTATAAACAGACCACAACAAGGGTGCCAACACCCCTGTCTGATTCCTCTGATAAGAGGGATGGAGCTTTTGCGGCCCCCATGCTGGACATGGTACTGGCATCGATTATGCCATTCAATAATGGCATGTGCCAGCGGGGCTGAAGCTCCCGCCCACAGCAAGGAACGGTAAAGTAGCAGACGTGGTAGCCGATCAAACGCGGAGCTCATGTCAAGTTTGAGTTGGCACTCCTCGAAGTGGGGAGTACCAAGCATGCCCTCTTTGCGCTCGTGTATGCTAAGACGTTTGCCTTTGATCGAAGCTCTAACCCTTCGACAGTGAGCTGCGATCAGGGAAATCGCAGCGTCAGTTCCCCTACCACGAGTGTAGGCATATTGAGGAAATCTCAAAATGGTATCCTCAACTTGTTCAAAAAGTAGATCCTTGATCGCGGAAATGGCAACCTTCCCTGTAATTTCCTGTATGCCAAGTGGTCTCAAATCACCTAGCTGCTGCGTGCGTTTATGCGGATTTGGAACTAGACTCAACCAGCAATTGCTCCAAATCCTAGGAACATCCGCTTTGCTCTCGCATAGGCGTTTACGTATACAGTGCGACAGCCAAACAGAGGCATCATCCTTGACACCTTCCACGCTGCCGCAGGTGCACAACCCCGCGGGCTGAAATCGTCGACTTGATGTTAATGAACTTACGAAGAAGCTTATCAGCCGTGATGTCCAAAACCAAGCGGAGCATGAGTCCATTGTCAAACACTACACGGCTTTGTTTGCCCCTAATGCCCCCTTTTGTAATCAAAAACTCACTCCGATGGACAAGTCCACCGCGCGAAATCCCCAACAAAGATTCATTAACAAGCAGATCAATAAGTTTCGCTTCGATGTCTTCCTCCATACGCGCATCTCCGTCCTCATCAATTTCCATGTCGCCAAACCCCGCAGGATCAACATCGGACGGAGCATACTCAGAGTCAGTGCCCTGAAACCCACGCTCAGGATCATAGCCTAACTCAGGTTGATACCCAGGCCTAAACCCTTCAGGAGGACGACCTGGAATGAGCTCTTCATCGTCGTCTTCCAGCAGAAGACACAGGAACGTGACAGATACTGGAAGACTGCAGGTGACAAGAACCAGTAGAGACAATTGCGACAAGAAAAGCTGCAGGTGCTTTAGCACGCGGGGGGAAAGGGGAAGGGGGTGGGGATGGCGCCAAGCTAGTGCCCGACTAGCGCCCGAATAGTGCCTGAAAA